AGACCCTCTATGAGGTGGATTGATTCAGTGACTGGGGTAATCGGGATGGGTGTGTCAGAGGTAGTGTGATTGGCACAGGATAGAGCAGGGTTTAGGGCTGTTGTACATATGGTCGCCATCAGTCGCAAGCGACTTGACGGCACATAACAACAACAACATGGTTCTCACATTCCATGTTCCAATCACTAGTGTCTGCTTACAACTGTTCCTCTTCCTTTGTATTTCCATACTTGAAAACTCCACCTTAGTTGCCCTTTCTGTTAGTCTACACGTGTTCTGTTGTACAGAAGGTTTTCAGATGCCTGCTATTTCACAAGTCGATGGCCAATCCTTCTTCCTAATCTGTCTTAATCTGAATGTTCAGATTTAGAGAAGTATCCATCAGACAAGCATTTTACAGAAAAAGTGAAAGATATATCCCTTATTGTGGAATTAACCATTAGTTTGTGTTGTTCCTGCCCTTGGCACAAGTGTCTTGAACCACCTATTTCTCTGCTCCACCATCCACCAGTATAACCATCCACTTCTACCCACTCCCTTCAACATCTATCTCCCATTATCCCAAGTTAGGTAATAATTGACAAAATAATTGCTCCTGTGTGCTGCATCTTATTTCATCATGTGGGTGTACCATAATTTCTCAATCCATTCATTTGTGGTTGGACAATTGGGCTGTTTTCATGTTCTTGCATGGTGGATAAAGGACAATGGGGGGGGATTATAAGTTGGACAATTAAGAAAAAAATAAAAGAATTTTCCTACAAATAAATAATATCTGTTTGGTATCTCCATCCACAACAATCTCCATTCATCTAGGATTGGTAAAACATGAAATTCTAGATGATGTGCCTTTCCTGCTGTCTACCAATAACCAAATCCAAATATTTACTAATACCCAAAACCAAATCCATTGTGTCAATTTGTACTCAAAGTGGACCCCACTGAATAGAGAAGAACTGCCCCATAGGGTCTCCAAGGCTGTAAAAAGGTTTTTTAATAAAATTTTAATTGTGGAATAAAAAGAAGTAACCATGTACCTGAGAAGCACCTCAAGATCATGGATGAATATTGAGAACATTATGCTGAGTGAAATAAATAATAAAAAAACAAAGATTTTATAAAATTATTCTAGAAAAGTACTACTGGACTACTATATGAGAAGCTGGATTCTTATGAAGAAGAATGTGGCATCAGGATTTGTGGAGGACTCATCAATAACCTTCATTTATGTGGATGACACAATTGTGCTTGCTGAGTATGAGGAGGACTTGAAGCACTTGTTGCAGAAAGTGAAATACTGCAGCCTTCAATATGGATTGCATTTTAATGTCAAGAAAACAAAAATCTTTGTCTTTGGACTCATAGACAATATCCTGATAGATGGAGAAAAGATTGAGATCGTCAATGACTCCACTTCCTTGGTACGAGTAATTCTGGAGGTCAGGATATGTATTGCACTGGCAATGTCAATAGTCAGGGACTTCTCTAAATTATTGAGGAGCAGTGATTTCAGTTTGAGAACTGTGGTATACCTGATTCAGGCTATGGTCATTTCATGAAAAAGGACCATGAAAATGGATGACTGAAGAAGAGTTGATGACTTTGAGTAATGGTGTTGGAGAAGAGTACTGAACATCTCAGGGACTGCCAAAAGAACAAACAAATATGCTTGGAGAGGGTGCAGCCAGTGTGCTCTTTGAGGCAAAGATGATAAAGCTTTACATTATATACTTTGGGCATGCTGCTCTGAGAGGTTATTCCTTGGAGAGGGATATCATGCTTTGAAAGATGAAGGGTTGGCGAAAGAGAGGAAGACAGACCCTCAACCAGATGGACTGACACAGTGATTGCAGCAATAGGCTTAAGTGTGTCAGAGATTGTGATGACACACAAGATAGGTCAGGGTTCAAATCTGTCGTTCATACGGTATACGGTCGCTATGAGTGGTATTCAATTAGACAGCACCTAACAACAACAACAACATTCTAAAACGTAAAGATTTCTACATTAACACTTTGATGTTAATGTAGGAGGTAGGAGGTAAACAGAGAGTAACTAGTTAGAGGGTAGTTAGAGGGTAGTATAACTAGTTAGAGGGTAGACTTAAGTGAAGAGGAAAGAAATAGGCAATAAGTGGGAGACCAGTATAAAATGACCAGACAGAGGGAGACAGTAGGAGAAGAGTTTAAGGCAACAGAAGTAAATAGTATTATATGTACAAGCCTGCAATAACAACAACACACATCTATGTGTTGATACATAAACAGACATGGAAACTAAACAGGTATGGGAAAGCAAATGGGACTATACTGAAATCTATTTGATTCGAAAGAAGAAATTTCTGTATATATGTTTACATATGCTGCACATATATCTACTAATATAGTAGTGTGAACAAGAAACAATATTATGAAAACACCTTGAGGAAATGGGTCACTAAGTCGGGCTCAGGATAATAGGTTGAGGAAGCTTCAAAGCCAATTGTCATAATATAGGAAAAATCCCAGCTCTATATCCTATTTTGGTGAGCTGCCATTAAGGTCTTAAAAGCTCACGATCATCTAAGGTGCAACTACTGTTCTCTCCTTGTCTAAAGCAAGAGAAGCGAAGAAAATCAACGATTCATAGAAATCATGCAGAAGGCTAATGAGCCAGGCTAAGCCAAGCTCTGAAAATATTCATAATAGAAGGTCCTAGATAGAGGAAGGGGGGGGGGGGAATGAAGCAAAATTCAAAATCGTAAGAAAGATCAGGCTTACTGATTGGATGGAGATTGGGAACCCAAGAGACTCTGATCCTAGACAAGCCTTCAAGCCTTATACAAATAGCTCTGTTATCAGCAAACTATTAGTAAGTTTATACTTACTCATTCACAGCTATCAAGTGGGTCTGACTCATAGATGACCCTTTTTTGGGCTTCTGAGGCTGTAAAGCCCATGGAGGAGATTATGCATCTTTCCCCCTCACATTGTCTGGTGGATTCCAAGAAACAGAGAAGTGTGTCTTTGGGTTAGGAGGGCAACTCTTTCTGAACAAGCCACTGCAGTGTCCAGTTGTTGTCATCATGTGCCATTGAGTTGGAACCCACCAGTAGCAGACCCTCTAGTGGGTATTCAGTAAACAGTAAATCGAATGCAAGAAGATTGTCCTTTCTTCTCCTGTGGAGCACTTGGTGAATTTGAACCACATGCCTTTGAAATTGCAGGGCAGTTTCTTACCACTAGGTCACCAGAGCTCTCCTAAAAAGTAGAAAATAGAACCCTACAATGTGACAAAGAAACAAATATAAAGACTACAAATAAAGAAAAATACAACGGTCCTAGTAAATCTTTCCTTTGCTGTTAAGTTGAAAAAAAGAGTTGAGGGCAAGAGAAAAAAAAAAAAGAAATGAACAGGACTTTATTGCATGTTCTGAGAGGGATGAGGGAAACTGAGTGACCCACGGAGATGGTCAGAAGGTCAAAATTGGAGGAGGGCAATCAATGGTGGTTTCTTTTTATAGAGGTTTTAGGGAGGCCTAGGGAAGATGGTATGTTGCTTGGAATTTGGGGTTGTTAATGAATTTGAGTATGGGCTTTTGTGATTAGGCCTAGAGCCTTATCAGGATCCATTATCTAGTCTGGTCTTTGATCTGGTCACCTTAGACATTATCAGGTTTCTTCCAGGAGTGAGCAGGCCTGGGGGCTACTGCTACATTCTTCCTCCACTTTCTGCTTCAATATCTTTCCCTTTCTGCTTTGTGGCTTTGGAGTAGTACTGTCTGTCCCACAGGAACTGTACTGAAAAACTTTAAACAGAATACTGCGTAATATCGCTGTTATTAAAAATGACTGACATTGGGTGGTTGGTGTAAATAGGAAGAGTGGAGAAATAAAGAACAGTGCATTGGATCATATGAGAGGGAAAAACTGAAGAGAATGTAATTAGACTTAGGTGTAGCAACAGCATGAAACAAGAGGTACATTCATTGCAAGGGGGGGCGAGGAAAACGTGCAAGTATGAAAGAATGAAAACCCAACCTTTCTGTAAACCTTGGTTAAAATCACAATTTAAAAAAAGTAAAACAATATGAAAATAATAACGTATATTTTCAGTCTTCTGGTACAACTCTCTCGTTTTAGAGAGTAGACTCAAGTGATTTGCCCAATTCACAACGTGGCAGGGCTGAGGGACCAATTCCTGTCTCCAAGAGTTGTTTGTTCTGAGTCACACAATCAGTCCTTGAACATTTTCCGAGTACCTGCTGCATTAATCACTCAGCAGCAGCAGCAGGTTTCCCATTTGCTACTTTAGTGTGGATTACTGCCTACTTGCCTTCCTGGTTCTTTTTATTCTTTTTTATTTGACCATTTATTAAAATGGCTTTCAGATGTAGAATTAGAGATGAGGGGTGGGAGTGGGGCGGGGATAGGCGGTGCAAGGCGGGCGTCAGGCGCCTGGTGGCCCCATCTGGTCCCAGCTGGTCAAGGAAGTGATATATAACACCCTGCTTAAACAATACCTAGGGAGTGGCAAGACTGCGGCTCCGAGGGTGGATGCCAATGGCTTTTCAGTGACTCGACTGTAGGGTGATCTGGGGAAACTTTTTTTGGGAAAGATGTCTACTCTTTTGGCCCAACTTTATTAGGGACAGCGCACCCAAGGGATTTGACCAGGTCTCCCTGTCTTCCCCTTATCCTCTTTTCGAGATCTTCTTCTGCGACTGTGGCCCCAGAAAGGGGCTCCGGCTGCTGGCCCTTGGCCCTAGCCGCGCCCCCAAAGCCGGCAGGGTCAAGTTGCTCTGGGGTGCCAGGGAAAGGCCACAGCTTAGGTGCTGCCACGCGAGGGCCTGTGGAAAGGCACCAGCCAATCGTCGTAAAGTATGTAGCATCGCCAGCCAATCAACACCCGTCTTATTCACACGCACCTCCCGTTCCAGCCCTGGCTCCCTGCCCTCTGTCCCAAGTTCTCCTAGTGTCGGCTGTAGCTGCTTTCTCCTCGGGAGCCGAATCGCTCCTGACACTGGCCTGTCTGGCGTTTTTCTCTCTCTCCTGTTGCTTTCACTGAGGATGAGTCTCTGCGCATCTGTGTGCCGATCCCACGGAGACAAGCGGCGCAATTTCATCTAGCGACTGGTGAGGGAGGGAGAGGAGCGGAGCCGTGTGTTATGCAGCCCGGGGTGGGGGCAGCAGGCGAGCCGGCGCCTTGCTGAGGGGGTGGGTGGCCGTGGCTGGCAGTGGCTGGCAGTGGACGGCAGTGGCGCGAGTGATCACGGGGCCGGAGCCCGGCGGTGCGGAGGCTGTGGGCCTCCTGCGAGGCGGCGCGGGGCAGGCCAGGACGCAGGGCAGCCGGGACAGTCCTTCCCCCACCTCGCTCTGCTAATGAATGGCCTGTGCTCCCGACGTGCCACGGTGCACTTCTGCCAGGCGCGCCCTCCAAGGATGTGCCATGCCAGTTTTTGGTAGTTGTGGAGTGCCACTTGGTTTTAAACCTTGAATTTGAACCCATTTCTATTTATACCCGTTATCCCCTTCGCTTTTAGTCCCTGTAGGGATGCTGACACAGGAAGCATGACGGGAACTTTGAATTACTAGTATCTGTAATAACAGTATGTGAAAAAGGACTTTCCTCCCCCCAGTGTATGAAACA